CCATATTTTTAGAAGAAGGTGAAAAACACTTAAAATCAACGATTCTTGTAAAGAATCTCAAGGACAATGTAAAACATTAAAGAAACTAACTCAAATCGTCCTAAATCTGTACAGATCTAGGAGGTATAGAAAAGAAATTAGGGTTTCAAAAGAAACCCGTATAGAAATGAAGGAACCTGTCTAGAATCCCAAGGATCATAACAAATATAGCATGATTTTGCTTGAAATCACACTGGAGTAGCCAAGAACAGACAGGTGATGAACCCTATATGCAAGTCGGCAGGGCCCTGGGCCCTTGAAGACCTTAGAGAAGGCAAGCATGGCACGAGAGAGGCCATTGGAGACTTAGGAGACGATGAGAGGTCACCGGAGATGGCCGGAGATGGGAGGTCGGCGATTGAAGGGCTAGGGTTGGGTTAAGAGTGTACTGAGAGTAGAGGAAATTTTAGGGCGGCGGTATATGGAAAATGATTAGGGTTAGAGGTTGTTTAGAATTAAAAATGGAAAGAACCAACAAGGGCCGTAGATCTAAAAGATCAACGGCCAGGATCTGATGGGGCCTTGGGTCGGGTATTTTGATCCGAAATTGGGCTGGGGTATTGGGTTTAATTGAGGCTATAATTGAACTATGATTTGGCTAAGTTTTAAATAGCCAATTTAACCCTATACAATTTATAATAAATGATAAATGATTTCTAGAAAAATAATTTCGTGTACTAAAAATGTTTGAAATAGATATTTAACATTTAAAAAATATAGAAGATCATTTTATGCATATAAAACGTAATTGTACATTAATAGGGCTAATATTGCAATTATATACAAATTGGTTTTAAAAATATAAATGCAATTATAAAAATTCCACAAAAATATCTAAGCAATATTTTGGCATAAATATAGGATTTAGATGGTTAAATTATCACAACAATAATTTGAAAGATAATTATTGGAAATTTTATTAATAAAAAGGAAGAAATAAATCAATTTAAAACCTTCAAAATTATAGAAAAATTATAAAGACCTTGTGCATGCTTATATATGCATATATATGCTATTTTGAAAGTATTTATGCTTATTAAAAATATATAGGGAAAAATTGGGTATCAACAACTGCCGGGGAAGGATGAAAGAGTTTTCGGGTAAAGAAATGATGGCCAATTTTGACCGAGCGAAACGGTTTGAGTAGGCCGCACCCTTGCTTCTGAGCTGCCTACATATCCTTGGTTTTACAGGAATCAGGCCATGTGTAGTTCTGGATTCATCTGCGGAATATGCCGATGAAATTATTGCAAGAATGGACACGCGATGCGGAAGCGGCTATGGCGAGCGGTTAAGGCTCGGGACAGTTGGAGGAACCGGAGAGAGATTGCTCCTGCTAGGATAGCGGTTGCTTGCTGGTTACCTGCAGAAAAAAGATGCTACAAACATGTACTTGTGCGGAAATTTAAACATGATGCAAATTCTCTTTGGACCATGAAGGTTGTCTTTGGACGGTTAAAGATGAAGTCCTTAGACCATGACGTCGTGGGCCATGAATTGTTCAGTGAGGGATTCACAGGCCATGAAATGTTTTTTTCGGTCCATGAAGATGGTGCCTCCGAACCATGACGCCTTTGAATAATGATATGCAAATTTGAGAGAGATTCTCAGGACATGGCATGGTGTCTTCCGGCTATGAGGATGATGCCTTTTAGACTATGACGCCTTTGGATAGATTGGCGATATTTCAGCCCATGATATGCAATGATGATGTTAACAAGACAAGGCTTAGTCTTGTGAAATGGAGGGCAGAGCCTAGCCCGATCGAAAAGCAAATAAGTAGTACTAGAAATAGAGCAATATTTGTGCGAAAAGGGACAGTGCTTAGTCCTCATGCAAATTAGGAGGCAAGGATTAGCCTCATGCAAATATCGAGGCAGGGATTAGCTTCATGCAGGTATGGAGTCAATGATTAGACTCATGCAAGTATGAAGGCAGGGATTAGCCTCATACAAGTAGGGAGGCAGGGATTAGTCTCATAGAGATAGGGAGGCAGGGATTAGCCTCATGCAAGTAAGGAGTCAAGGATTAGACTCATGCAAATATGGAGGCAGGGATTAGCCTCATGCAAGTAAGGAGGCAAGGATTAGCCTTATGCAAATATGGAGTCAAGGATTAGACTCATGCAAATATGGAGGCAGGGATTAGCCTCATGCAAGTAGGAAGGCAGGGATTAGCCTCATGCAAGTACGGAGAGGCAAGGATTAGCCTCATAGAGTCAAGGATTAGACTCATGCAAGTAGGGAGGCAGGGATTAGCCTCATGCAGGTATGGAGTCAAGGATTAGACTCATGCAAGTATGGAGTCAAGGATTAGACTCATGCAAATAGGGAGGAAGGGATTAGCCTCATGCAAGTATGGAGTCAAGGATTAGACTCATGCAAATATGGAGGCAGGGATTAGCCTCATGTAGATAGGGAGGCAGGGATTAGCCTCATGCAGATAGGGAGGCAGGGATTAGCCTCATGCAAGTATGGAGTCAAGGATTAGACTCATGCAAATATGGAGGCAGGGAATAGCCTCATGCAAGTAGGAAGGCAGGGATTAGCCTCATGCAAGTATGGAGAGGCAAGGATTAGCCTCATGGAGTCAAGGATTAGACTCATGCAAGTAGGGAGGCAGGGATTAGCCTCATGCAGGTATGGAGTTGATCGCTGCCAACTCCACTCTACTATAAAGTAGGAAGAGAGGGTCGCAATAGCTTTTACCCGATATGAAGGTCGGGATCGAATTCCTCAGAGAGCTAGAAATTGGAGCTGGGTATCTATCTAGACGAGAGTCGTGTAATTGTTCTAAATATCACTTCCAACATTTTTGGGCTTTTCAATTATAAACTACTATTATCAAACTACTAATTGAAACTAGATTATGCTACGAAATAATTGCTAAGGTTGTATCTAATGGGAAGAAGGGCACTAGGGTCATGACTTCGCCTAGGTGGCTAATTGACGGGTAGATGCTACTAAGGTTCGATTGACATAATTGGGGCTTATGCTATAACCGTTGCACAATTTTACCCACTCTCACACCTCTCGGTAGAGAGAGTGATTTTTCCCACTTGACTCTCTCGAGACCAAATGGGTAGGCAAATTAGATCAAGCAACTAGGGTTCAAGTAGGGTGATTACTCTCTCGAGGTTTAACCCGTTAATTGGGACTATCATTTCTCATGAGTCCATCCCAATTCCTTGTTAGGTCAATTTTGGAGACTTAGACTCTCTTTCTCAAGAGTAGTCAAATCCACCAAGCATAAATCAGTGTTTGCAACCACCAATTTATAGATTAAAACATAAAATCAACCCAAATAGCAAACACCCATAGTCAATCTAACCCTAGATGGCAACACCTATCAATTACCCACACTAGGGTTGAGCCACAACCCTAGCTAATGGGTTTAGCTACTCATGCTTGAAGGAGAAAATGAAGAAATAGATGAAGAACAAGACATCTTAATGAAATACTAAATTAAAGTACAAGAATCTATCGTTAATTTGAAGCTAAGATGCCAAAAATGGCTACAAAAGTTGTTCTCACGAGCGCAGCTGTGTTCTCAAGATAACAGATGACCTAAAAAAAGTAAAATGTTCTATTTATACTAAGCTAGANAGAAATGAAGGAACCTGTCTAGAATCCCAAGGATCATAACAAATATAGCATGATTTTGCTTGAAATCACACTGGAGTAGCCAAGAACAGACAGGTGATGAACCCTATATGCAAGTCGGCATGGCCCTGGGCCCTTGAAGACCTTAGAGAAGGCAAGCATGGCATGAGAGAGGCCATTGGAGGCTTAGGAGACGATGAGAGGTCACCGGAGATGGCCGGAGATGGGAGGTCGGCGATTGAAGGGCTAGGGTTGGGTTAAGAGTGTACTGAGAGTAGAGGAAATTTTAGGGCGGCGGTATATGGAAAATGATTAGGGTTAGAGGTTGTTTAGAATTAAAAATGGAAAGAACCAACAAGGGCCGTAGATCTAAAAGATCAACGGCCAGGATCTGATGGGGCCTTGGGTCGGGTATTTTGATCTGAAATTGGGTTGGGGTATTGGGTTTAATTAAGGCTATAATTGAAATATGATTTGGCTAAGTTTTAAATAGCCAATTGAACCCTATACATTTTATAATAAATGATAAATGAGTTCTAAAAATAATAATTTCGTGTACTAAAAATGTTTGAAATAGATATTTAACATTTAAAAAATATAGAAGATCATTTTATGCATATAAAACGTAATTGTACATTAATAGGGCTAATATTGCAATTATATGCAAATTGACTTTAAAAATATAAATGCAATTATAAAAAATTCAGAAAAAATATCTAAGCGATATTTTGGCATAAATATAGGATTTAGATGGTTAAATTATCACAACAATAATTTGAAGGATAATTATTTGAATTTTCATAAAAAAAAAGGAAGAAATAAATCAATTTAAAACATTCAAAATTATAGAAAAATTATAAGGACATTGTGCATGCTTATATATGCATATATATATATATATATATATGCTATTTTGAGAGTATTTATGCATATTAATAATATATAGGGAAAAATTGGGTGTCAACACTCAATCGACACGAGCGCTCAACATCGTATTAGAATGAGTAGGAAGGAAGTAAAAGCATAAGATTCAAAGGAATCAAATTGAACGATGAGGAATCAAGAAGGGAAGTGCTCTTAACAACCCTCTAGCCTCTCGAAGATAAGCACGTACGTCTCCATACTGATCCGCAAGACTCTACTAGACTTGCTCATGACTCGTGAGACCTATGTGAACCTAATGCTCTGATACCAAGCTGTCACGACCCAAAATCTACTATAGGTCGTGATGGCGCCTAACGCCACCGTCAGGCAAGCCAACCTTGATTGATCCACTTAATTACTCATTTTTATTACTTTGAAATCATAATTTCCATTAATTAAATCATATGAAATAGAATTTACAGGGTGAAACAATGATAATTACATGAACTACCATACTAAACATCCAGTAGGAACCCCAAGACCCAGTGTCACAAGTGCATGAGCATCAACAAGGAAATATGATAACATACAACACCTGTCTAGAATTTAAATTAGATAGGAGAATGAAAATAACTCCGATGGGGACTCTGTATGCTGCAGTTCATACATAGAATGTAGCTCACTGTAAGTCCCCGCGACCTCTGCGCCCACATGACCTCTAAACATATATGTACCTGCACAAAATGTGCAGCAAGTGTAGCATGAGTACGTAAATCAACGTGTACCCAGTAAGTATCTAGTCTAACCTCAAAGAAGTAGTGACGAGGGATCAACTTCAACACTTACTATGGGCTAACAATAAAGTACCGAAATTATAATTAAGCATGGATTATATAAATACAGTTGAACACTCAATAACAAGAAATACATAAACAATTCTTTCACTAATGGTAAATCCCAAATTAATTTCCATCATTTAACAAATTAATCTCTCAAGCCAATGAAACAATATCAATTATAATTGGGCCTCAAGAATTTTTAGGCACGAATTATGCCGAGGTCGTACGATCCGATCCAACATACAAATATATAAACTATACACTGCCGAAATTTGAATGGCACGAACCATAGATGCATCTATTAACCTGCCGAGGCGAACGACCGCTCCCATGAGAGTAGTGGAATTTACCTCGCTCGCGGAATATACTTGCGTTGCGAGTGAACATAGATTTCTCAAGATTACTGTAATATTCCTCAATTATTTCGTAAAATAGTTCAAACTGAAAACTTTTAAATCTTGAGATCCTCTATCTCAGCTCTATTCAAGGCAAATAATATTCCGTTGTGTTTTTTTTTATTTTATTATTAAAAAAATAGCTACTAGGCAATCCGCCTAGTAGTATAATTTGCTAAAAAAAAGGTCAAATAATAAGCATAATCAAATGACGGTGTCAACAAGGCATGGTGTAAACCTAAGACTACCCGGACATAGCCATCAGTAGTAGCTACGCACGAAATCTCGTCACCTCGTACGTACGTAGCCTCCACTATTAGTAGCAAATAATAATTTAAATCAACTATGGGGTAAATTCCCTCTTACAAGGTTAGACAAGAGACTTACCTCGTCTTAAAGGCCACTTTCCAGGTCACAATTTTGCTCTAAATCCCCAACTTGGTGTTGTTCAATCCGAAACTAGTCAAACAACATGCAAATTAATCAAAAATATACTTCAATGATTGAAATTTAACAATTCATAAAGATTCCCAACTCTGCTCGAAAAGTTGGCAGTGGGTCCCACGTCTCAGAAGCCGACGAAACTCACAAAATCCGACAACCCATTCAATTACGAGTTCAACCATACTAATTTCATTCAAATCTAACTCCGAATCAGTATTCAAAAGTCAAAAACTCTTTTTGAGAAATTATAGAAATTTCTTCCGATTTCTTCTTGAAATTAATAATCTAACGTCGAAAATGAAGATTAATCCATGAAATATAATCACAAGTGAGTCAAGAATGCTTACCCCAAGTTTTGTGGTGAAATTCCTTCCAAAATCGCTAAATCCTGAGGTTCCCAACTAAAAATACGAAATAATGGCTCAAAGGTTCGAAATAGAGGACATATAACACGACCCCGACTTCCTTCTTCACGTTTGCGAGCCTCACATCGCGTTCGCGATGAACAAAATTCTCAAAAGCCATTTCCAAACTCTTCTCCGACAGCCTCTAGTATAACGATCATAACGTTTTGTACAAAACTCTAAATGTTAAATGATTTAACTTTATGAAAACTAGACACCAAGATCTACAAATATCATGTTTTGATCATCTCCCAATTCCTTATAGATTTCGAGATATAACCTGCCAAAATCAGCCATGTGCAACACAAATTTCTTCTTCGTGATTTCCAAACATCTTCCCGGACAACCTGTAGTGTACGAACCATAACTTTTTGTACACAACTCCAAATTCCCAATGGTTTGATTTTCTGAAAATTAGACACAAAGGGCTACAACTTTCATATTTGGAACATCTTGAAATTCTTTATAGATTGCAAGATATAAGCTCCCAAAATCGGATGATGGACGATAGGAATTCCTTCTTTGAGAATGCGAAGAACAAAGTCCCAGCAGCAAAAAGCTTCTTCGTGAACGCAAGAGGCTCCTCGCGAACGCGAAGAACAACACCAGAAATCAGAAAACCAGCATCTAATGCAGCCCAAAATGATCCGATAACACCCGAAACACACCCGAGGCACCCGGGACCCCGTCCAATCACACCAACCTGTCCCAAAACATGACAGGAACTTGCTCAAGGCCTCAAATCACAGAAAACAACGTCGAAATCATGAATCACACCCAAATTCAAGCTTAATGAACTTTAGAACTTCAAACTTCTACATTCGATGCCGAAACCTATCAAATCACGTCCAATTGATTGCACACAAGTCACATTTGACATTACGGACCTACTCCAACTTCCGAAATCGATATCCGAACCCGATATTAAAAAGTCCACCCCCGATCAAACTTTCCAAAAACCTTCAAATTTCCAACTTTCTCCAAATGACCCCGAAATGACCTACGGACCTCCAAATCCACATCCGGACGCGCTCCTAAGACCAGAATCACCATACAGAGCTATTGTCAGGCTTGGAATACCAAATGGATATCGATAACATTAAAATACACTTCAACCCAAATTTATAAAATTCTTCAAAAATACCAACTTTTCTCAATAGGCGCCGAAACGCTCCCGGGTCATCCAAAACCCGATCCATAGATACCCCCAAGTCCAAATCATCATACGAACCTGTTGGAACCTTCAAATCCCAATTTCGAGTCATTTACTAAAAAGTCAAACCTTGGTCAATCCTTCCAACTTAAAGCTTCTGAAATGAGAATTTTCCTTTAAAATCAACTCGGAACTTCCCGAAATTCAATTCTGACCACACGTTTAAGTCGTAATACCTGAAGTGAAGCTACTCAAGGTGTCAGAACGCTGAACGATGCGCTAGATCTCAAAGCGACCGGTCAGGTCATTACATTTAACATCCTAGAAACTACAAGTTGAGAGAAGGTAGAACCAGGGTACAATTTTGCATCAGCGGCCTTTAGAAAATCATAAAACCTTTGAGACTCAAGATTAGACTCCTCCTCGATTGAAGGATTAGCCTCGTCCTCCATTGAAGCTTCAAAATGATGAGACAACTCAAGTTCAGTATTACTATAAGATTGCCAACTTGAACCCTGGCCAAAGTTGGGCCCAGCTGCATCTAAAATCAATTGTCAGTATGGATTATCATATCCTAATGCAGGTTGAACACCACCATATAGATCACTGCTAGAAGACGTCACACTAGTCACATCTTTTTCCCCTTGATACTTCCAAAAATAATTGTTTTCAACAAATCCAAACTTAAAAAGATGCAATCTAACTGTTTCAACATCCATGTATTTAATGTTGTGACATTTTTTACATGAACATCGAACATTATCACCGCTCATGGGATTTCGCTGAGAACGTACAAATAGGAGAAAGATATCCACACCAGTTACAAAATTAGAATTAATACCCCCTCGTCCATCCAACCTCTTGTACATCTAAGCACACTCTAAATTATCCATATTCCTATTTAATGTAGAAACAAAACATGATAATCAAACTTCCTTTTTTGTGATCAGTAAGATAATTAGAATGTTCTAAAGGGAAGAATTGATTGAGATAATTTTCCTAACTAAACCATTATGTGAAATGCCTGAAATCCAAATTAAATAGAACAAGTCATTCACATTTTTTATTGAAATAAATGATAAGGAAAAGAGAACCTTACTATAAGGATATAAAGAATATAGCTACTGAAGGGAATATTAACATATAAATCAGAGCCAAAACTTATATATGAAATAATTTTGCGATTTACTAACCATATGCGTCCTTGAATTTTTTTTAAACTTGAATAAACTAAATAGTTGGGCAGAAAGACAAATGTATAGGAAACTTCAAGAAAAAGTTATAAAACTTATGGGGTTAAAGAAAAAGCTCAACCCATAGCATTAATTAAAATTGTAATGCTTCCAGATTTTATTACTCTTTTTAACAAGTGCGACTTGCGATAGAGACGAGACCGACTATCAAAAATAATAGTAATCTATGAATGCATATTTTTTGTTATATTCTTTAATTCTTCACAATTTCACCAGAATTGCTCACTTTTCGTATAAACCCTACTGTCGACATTATCAATGCAACAACAACATACCCAGTATAATTCCAAATAGTGGGATCTGGGGAGAGTAGTGTGTACGCAGATCTTACCCATACCTTGTGGAGGTAGAGGGGCTATTTTCAATAGACCCTCAGCTTAGGAAAGCATAGGTACCACAATAATAATACAAGAAATCAAGACGGGACAACATCGAGAAATCATGTAAAAGCATCATATATAACAAGATAGTAAGGTTGTTGAAATAAAAAAAAAACACAGGTATTCAAATAAACCTAATACCAACCAAATGCGAGAGTACGTACTAACACTACCGGTATGAATAATCTAGACTACCTAACCTATTATCCTATTCCTCGACCTTCACACCTTCCTGTCAAGGGTCATGTCCTGGGTCAGCTGTAGCAAGCTATGCAAGCATCTGAGACCTACTGAGCTAAACCAAAGAAGCCTAAAAATTCATCTTTTCAAACACCCATTTGAAGTTACTAATCAACAATCAATATAAAATTTTTTTTGTCTAAAGCTATGTGAAGAAATTTTTTGTAGATCTGGACAAAAGATTAAGAAGATAAGCGGAAGAAGATTAATTAGACCATCAAAGGAATCTGTTAGTTTCATATATTAAACAAAATATCTCTTAGGAAAACATACTCGATAATATGCACAATCGGTAGTTTATTTTTTTTGGTACCCAAAATTAGTACTAAGCATAAGAAAGAGAAGAAGAAACAAAGCCATCTACAAACCTTAGATTCACGCCGGCTACCGGTTTTGCTCTTGTTCTTGAAATCCCTTACCAAGTTTATTTCCCAGCTAATTTTGCTCTCTCGTGTGTGTTCTACTGTTTTAGAAGCGACTAGATATTTTACCATATTTGTTCTACTGTGTGGTCATCAGCGACGGATTAGCTACAGATACAGTTCTCTCAGTAAAAATAACTTTACTTTTCTTTAAAAAAAACTAACAACAGAAATTTCCATTAGCAAGGAGTTTTAAAATATTTTGATAAATAAATTAAGTCTAGCTTCCGTTGCTAAATCTGTCGCTATAGTTAAAGAAATTTTGCCGCTCACCTTTTGTCGCTAAATCCGTAGGTAAATTGAGAGCACCAATATTTCGCGTCAACAATTAGCGACAAATTTTGCTTTCGTCGTTGTTCCGTTGCTTTGTCGCTAAAATTCGTTGCTAATTGCTATGTTTTTGTATTGGTTCAAAACAGAGGGTTTGCGTTTGCGAGTGATGAAGCAGTTGGGGCTTGGCCTTCATGTTAGTGTGAGAGAGCCCGCATTCGCTTAGGCCTGGAGTTTGTGCATCGCGTTTGCGGGCTAGGGGCCGCATTCGCAAAGGGTTAATTTTAGGCAGTGCATTTTTTTTACTTCACGAACTCGAGGCAATGGCCGCATTCGCGAAGTGTATCGCAGGGAAATATAATTTCGGGACTTTAACCATACTCTCGTATTTTTAACCCTAGACTTTGAGGGGTGGAGATTTTGGGAAGCATTTTCACTACTACATTGGAGGTAAACAATTTTCACTTGAATTTGACTTTATATCTTTGACGAGCGCAAAATACAATACAAACTTATTGCTCGCTATTCAAATATAGTATAGTTGAATTATTATCTCCACAGGAATTGGATTTAAACTATATTCGAATAATCTTTAATTGCTATCCAGGAAAATTAATACTTGATTGAATGATTATATACCATGATTAAATTCTAAAATTAAGCAATTAATAATTGATCACGAAAGACACAGTCGAGCAACAAAGAAATATCAATGAGAGAAATAAGGGTAACTGAATAGACAGGTACAAGATAATTGACTCGGGATCCAATACTTGAGTTAGTTCACTCTATAATACTGTTGATTGTCAAGAATTCAACAGATAATCAAATTACACTTGAATTTAATGTCCCTCTTTTGATAAAACATTAATTTCAGTAATTAATCCAATTGAAGTACGGCAAATAACTACAACGAATAAAATGATGGTTATGGTCTAAAGAGTAACTTCTCACAAATATTTCCCTATGTTCTAGTTTGATTAACAATTCAAGAGGCTCTTCCATTACCTATTTGAATCACAAAATTAAACTAAAGCATAAGATGTAAAGAAATTTAATATAAAGCTCCTCTTTTGATTAAGCAATATAATAAATAACTTCACAATACGATTTAAATCTTCATCAATTAATTCAAACAATTGTCAAGAATTTAATCCCTAATCAAGTTATCAATACACCATGTCTGTCAACACCCTAAGGGAAATTAATCCATAGCAATGAAAAAAGTCATCTCAATAAGGTTTAAAAACATAGAAAACATCAATGCTAATGACCCGATACAAACTCGCGTATTGCACCGATTGTTGGTTGAAATCTTGATGAATTCTTGCCTTAGTTGCTTCTAAAATCTATCGTAGGTCAAAAGTCCCTTCAAAAATGTATTTTTGGTATATTTATACCGTGTAGAAGCAGGACCAAACAAAACTACCCTTTCCAAGCCGAAACATGAAATTACTCTGGAAATATGCACAGCGGCGCCGCGCCTCGCGTCGCACCATGCGGCGCGCTTGTGGGGATTATCAAAGAGCTTGTTAAACGTCAGTCAGTCAGGTATCTCAGAGTGAATTGTTTCGTCCACTTTTTGACATCCAGACTTGGTCCTCGACCCCCGAACGCGATCTCGATTTAGTTCCTTGGGCTTTTACTCAGACTTCAAAGCTCCACATTGTTCGATTTAGCTCCAATTTATCTTTTTAACTCGGAATCACTTCCTACAAGGCATAAAACACGTAATAAGTGCAATTCACTATCATTTATGTTTAAACACACGATAACTGTTAATTAAAGTGTATATAACGACTAAAACATGGGTTTCTAGCCTACCATCAACACCCCATACTTAAACCATTGCTCGTCTTCGAGCAATCAAACTACACTTCACATAGGGACGACCTTTTTATGTAACAACTTCCCTAATGCATCATGCCAAGAATATTTTAAAGTAGACTAAGCACCCTATCATAAAATCCTACCCTCAAAACAAAACTCAAAAAAGCACCATGCATTTCTGATAACCTGCTCACTTACCCTAACAACGAGGCCAACAACATTACCTTTCCTTTGCAAATCATGTACCCTCACATAAAAAATAAAGAGTAATTCCGAACAAAATAAAATTCAAGAACAAATAGGAACTCAAGATAGAAAGAATTCACTCACTCTCAGAATTAAAATTCATATGCCACAGAAGACGTACCATAGTCTTGCTCGTAGTGTAATACTCTACTAATTGTGCTCATTCAGCTAAATACCAAGTAGGACTTAATTTTGGTTGTAATGTAGGATGCGGGACGGGTATGATACATTTGGATATAGTTACTACACCTCCCTGAACAATTTAATACATACAATTTCACCAATTCAAACCCCACATTTCTGCTGAACCAAACCCAACCTTCACATCATATTAGCACCAAGCTCCCAATTTCTTTAAGCACACACAAGCAAGATTTACCACTAGCAAGGAATAATTTTCTTCATAATATATACAAACACCAATTTTTTTTCTTCTTCTAAATTCTGATTTTTTTAAATTCCCTGCAATTGGCTCTCACAATTTTTTTTCAAACAGTGCACCTTTCTCCTTTTCTATAGTTCCACTCAAAAAACCCAACCATACCCCCACTTAGCTTTTATCAAGCTCATAAAAATTTCAACTGCTCATGAGAGGTAAAAGGTTCAAATAAACGATCAATTCAACAAATCGGGCAGGCTTGTAGTGCGGTTGCCAAAGAAAATAGGATTACAGGCAGAAAGAGGCTAACTAGGATACAAAACAATTAGGCATGCCACAAACATATAATTGGCTCAACAAAGAAATTCCTATATCACTTCCTAGACTGAACAAGACTACCATTTCACTTCGCAAACATATAGGGCAAGTTCTAGACCTCAACTGACATGCACAGAATATCACAAAACCTCACACACCATGGCACATTACTCACTTAGGATCGAATCTATCCCAACTCTCTAGTCAAAGCAGTTAAGCACGGTCAAGATCAACAAATTAAGGTACTTATATACGAGTCAAGAACTGAGCCTAGGCTTCACAACTAAGGCGCTTACCACTCTCAAGGCGTACGCAGTCAAGGAAAATTGCTTCAAGTTAGCACTATGACTCAAGATTCTTTATTCCTACAAAAAGAAAAAAAAATAACTACACCCTGTTCAAATAAAAGCCCTTGGAAAAGAACCGTGACATAAAGAAAAACCAAGGAAGAATTATTATACTACCTAAGAAAGTAAAATAAAAATAAAAGACATATTTTGGATTTTCAAATTTTTTCGTATTTTTCTCATTCGACTTCAAATCCCTCAAGAAACCAGTTGATGAAATCCATCACCGGGAAGAGTCAAAACTAAACAATTATAATTACTAACTATTACAGGCCGATTGAATTCAGAGTTATAATTACAAAACGTATTATCTAAGAAAGCAAGAAACAAATCAAACAAAGCCAATTGACAAATAGAAAAAGAACAAATAGGAGCACCCCATCCCCACTTAACAAATTGCATTGTCCCCAATGCAAAACAGTAGAAACAAGAGTGAAAAAGTGACTCCCTGAGGCCCTTGGCCTAGTCATCGGCACCCTCGAAGGTGCGCAAATACTCTTCTTCATCAGAAGAGACGGAGTTCACGTCCTCATCAGGTGGCAATTCTCATCCCTCAGCTAGACCCAACCACTACTGAGTGACAGCAGAGAGCGGGTGGTCCTACTGCAGCTCCGCCAAGTCAGTCTCCCCCCGAGCAATGCGAAGGCGCATGTCAGCAAACAATAGCTGTAGTGTCTCCTCGACACGGAGTAGCCTTTGGTCTATAGTAACAACAGCATGAGGAGGGACTATAACCGCTGTGATATCAAAAGCCTTATTAGGATGTGGCACTTGGATCGTCCGGTCATAATAAAACTCCTCCTCTACATTGTGCACCTGCAACAACTGAGTGATCATACTCGGGTAATATTGGCGGCGGGCCCCAAATTGTCGCATTCTCGCCATGTGATCCAGCATGATTTTTACAAGATCAAACCTCATCCTTGTCAAAAAGGCATAGATAAAACACACCCTCAACCGTGAGACATCAGTGAAACTTTGGGTAGGCATAATTTTGGCATTGATCAGCCGCGAAAGAACCCTGGCCGAACGCTAGAATGTGCCCTTCTCGTGTCCTTGTGGTACTCATTAGCATCCCGCGTCCATGCAGCAGAATAGTCAGCTCCACATAGTTTTCGTCGGATATCAGGATAGTTTGGCCGACGAAGAAACCTCTAAATGTCACGACCCCAACCTCGGTCGTGATGGCGCCCAACACACTGCTAGGCAAGCCCGACCAATTCAACAACCTTAACCCTTTTTATACAGTTCATGATTCAAGTAACACAAATAATTACTAAGTCATAATACTGAAACTCTGAAATATAATTAAAACATGCGGTAAACCCAAGTAGAAATACTACTACACAACCCGAAGAATCCGGTGTCAACAAGTCTGAGGCTCTAATACACGGGTGTCAACCTACTACATATTGCTCTAAACAAATGCGGAAACAAAGCAAATAGGTTAGATGGGAAGATCAGGACTGCGGACGTCATGCAGCTACCTTGATGCTCCCGGATATGATGCTCGACAGAGAAATCCTCACTCAGCCTCAGTGGGTGCACATAGATCTGCACACAAGGTGCAGGGAGTAATGTGAGTACTTCCAACCTAGAGAGTAATAAACATAAATAAGGGTTGAGAGTAAGAAATCCTAGATAGGCACAATGTAAGCTATAATTACAGCAGTTTAATCCAGATAATGTCAACTCAATAAACCAATGAAAACAATGATGCTGCAACAGATAAGTAAAT